ATATATATATATATATATATATATATATATATATGTGTGTGTGTGTGTGTGTGTGTGTGTGTGTGTGTGTGTGTGTGTGTGTGTGTGTGTGTGTGTATGTGTGTGAATATATGTATATATGCATATATGTATGTATATATGAATATATGTATATATGTATGTATATATATATATATATATATATATATATATACATATGTATACAAGATGTCCCACGATCACCGTAAAAGATCTCAACAACGTATACCAGAAGTTGATTAAAGTCAGCGATCCCACCGCGCGGGGATGTCCAGGTCGCGGTGGTTCTCCAGTTCCGATCGATCGGACTCGATCCGCTCTATCGCGTTCTCCCGAGTCTGTAACGGCGAAATCGACCGCGAAAGTTGTCATAGCGGAGCAATTACGCGCAATTACAGGCTGGAACGTGTGCGACATTTAAACAGATCGATCTTAATCGCCTGCAACTCGGAAAATTATCGCGACCTCGAAGTTCCTGCGCACTATATATATATCTGCATTGTTCTCTCCTCTTTCTCTCCATGTTTGTGCATCTATATGTTGTTATACGTATCTTTTTTTTTTTATATATATATTGCATCCTGAGTACGCCAGTATGTACTATCCGGGATATATATACATATGTATTACTATATTCGCAGTGTCTCTAGGTGTAGCCTCTCACTCACACTCGAGGAGAGTTCCGCCTGCACTCGATGTCATGATTAAACCTCTCGATCTTTCGGCCGGGGCGCCGGAGGGAACGCTATGCAAAAACTATCGCGAGGGTAGCTCGCGACATTTATCCGACGACAAGGTCGGCGAAGTCGTCTCGTCGCAGCAGCGCGAAATGTTCCTGTTTTTTAGTCAACTCGTTTTGTGTCAGCCCGACGTGTTCACCCGATGACGTGCTCTGTATATTTTTCTCACGTCGGAGAATAAATTATAACGAGGGAGTCTGATATCTCGACAGCACTTCAGTCTTCAACACTTTCGCCGACGTCGTGTGAGCGCTCACTCACGATCATCCTTCGGAACTTGAAGTTGGCGGAATGAAAAGACCGATAACTTCGATTTTTAATATTTAATTCGGAGATTCCTTACTCCTAATTGAGATCATTTTTCGCCGGCGAGACCGGTCGACGTCGCAGCGGAAGGGTTGCTTTCCCGGTCATCTGTGACTGATCACGTCGGGTTTTGCGCACCGCATCTGTAAAATAAATGTCCCGATGACCGAACTAATAAGAGAGTGCGATCAGTTTTATATTTTTATTAATGAATATTTAATGGAATTACTTAACAAGACTAACGTTTGCACAAGGTGTTGATTTGCCAGCAATCGACAAACGCAATGGGAAATGAGATAATCAATAAATGTCAATTACAATTCTGATGAGATATGTTAGGTTAATGGCGGTTGTATCAGAGTAATGAGCCGAATAATGAATCATGTACTAATTACTGAATGATACAGTGATTGAATGTTCATTAAACAACATCACAAATTAGTATAAAGAAATAGTTTTTAACAAAATTTCAAAAGCTCTCTTCTTTTTGGAAATATTCAAGATAATTATATTATTGATGTTTCTCTCATTGGGACAGTGTTGAATCAGTGGAACCTTAATAGCCGGATTGAAATCGCGACTCAGCCCCTCGAGCGGCACCACCGGTCGTGTAACTTGTAAACTTCTCGTGGCGCTGTAATTGCCGGCAATTCACACACGAAGGTAAATATCCGGGCGTTAACTTGCCAAGTCGATATTCCGACTGCAAGCACGCTGCTGCGACGACAACGGGTGAAGATACGAATTATCCGCGCGCGCGTGGTTCTCGCGAATGATTATTCGGTGTTTTTCTTGCCGAACCTAGTGGCGATTCTATGGACCGAAATTTCCGCGTCGTCGTTATCGTCGTCGTCGTCGTCGTCGTCTAGCAGTCCGATATATAATCGATCCGCGAAGACGAGGACACGCCTGGTTGTAGAAGACTGGCGGATCGAACAGATCGCCGATCGTCCTCGATTTCATCGAGTGCAAGCTTCACGGGGTCACGGGGTGGGAAAGGGGAAGGGCAGGCTCTACGTCGGCATTAAAGCGGCGGTCAAACGTTCCAGTGACGGCCGAGCCCCAGGTAAATGGGGATGTCACCGGCGGGGACTCGAGCGTCGCGTCAACGCCGCCGTCGCAGACAACGCAGGCACCAGCGCCTGTCACGGCAAGTCCGTGGCTGGACGACGAGCCGGTGGTAAAAAGCCCGCCGGAGCCGACCAGGGTGAAGTCGCCGGAGCAGATGATCATGCGCTCGCCGGAACCCGTAAACTGGACCGTGCCCCTCGACACCGGCAAGACCTTCACCGTTACGCAAAACGTCCGAGAGGGTAAGCTGTCATCTTGCATATTCAGTCCCGACGTACCTCTGATTTCCATCGTATCTTTCTCCCTTTTGTCTTCACTCGAAGAAATATCATCTTATCTTTAGCGGAATCCCCTTATATAGGAGAGTGCATAGCGGAACATGGTCTCAAGATTATTCTTCTAAAGTTAGAAAAAAGAGAGAATATTCTACGTTAAAAAAATGCTTGAAAATTTATTTGTGAGATATAAAGTTTATTTCTGCGAAAATCTTTACTCGAAAGAACATAATCTTTACACGGGATTCTTTTACACGTAAGAATATATGCTGGAACATGGCGGCAAGATTATTCTTCTGAAATCAAAAGGAGAGGAAAATATTTTACACTAAAAACAAAATATTTGTGAAAGAAGTAAAGAAATTTATTTGTAGGATATAAAGTTTATTTCTGCAAAATTTTCTGCGAAATCAACTTTATTTCTGTGAACTTAAATGAACTTTGTATTCCATAAATCAATTTTCAAGCATTTTTTTCTCAAATATTTGTGTAAGATAATGTCTGCTAAATTAATAGTTCACTTTATTATTCGAATAGAAATATTCTTTCAGTAAGAGCTTTCGCGTTTAAAATATGGTATCACAGGAAAAAGCACGTTAGAAGCAATTAGAATTCCTTTTTTGGATTTTAAAATATATTTTCCTTTCGGTTTTAGAAGAATTTTCTTGAGACCATATAAGAGAGGATTTCACTGAGAACAAGATTATACTTTTCGGATAATTAATCTTTCTCTAATGAATCATTTATTCAATTGATCTTCCTCTAACTCGAAAGAGAGAGAATCACGTATTCTAATCACGTAATAAATAGAATTATTATACAATTAAATAGTATTATTACGTAATATTATTTGATATTATCATTACATGTGAATAGCCAATTTGCAACGTTTCCGATATCTCCCAATGTCCTGATTTAACTTCTTTTGTCGAAGAGCCCCTAACACGTCCGCATAGCGAGGCGAAGACGTGGGCACCGTCGTCGGTACCATCGGCACCGCAATCAGCACCGCCGGAACTCGCAGCACAGCACAAATCGCAACACTCCCAGCACTCCGGCTACAAGTCGCCCGAAAGCGAGAGCGTTTCGCTCGGTAGTTTTAGCGGCATAAACGGACATAAGGATCTAGACTCGGAAAGAGACAGCCCGTTACCCACGACTGCTCAGGATACTCTCACGAAAGGGGAAAAGGTCAGGAGCGAGTTTATGTTTCTCTTTCAATTATCGTGAAAAGTGAATTATTTATTGTTTCGTTTATATATACGAAGTATGAAAAATATATAAACACAATTTATTCATTAATACAAATAATAATAATGAAAAATATATAAACACAATTTATTCATTAATACATACGTAATAATTAATTTATTAATCAACAGTGTTGACATTCTAATCTTGTTTAGTTCGAGTTATCCTACTCATTTCCGTGTACGATTTCAGGAAGCCGCCGACACCGCAGAAGAGACCAAGGAACGGCATAGCCCGGAGCCGTCGATAAAACCGGTGGCGGGCACCTACCTTAGATGTCTGGAGGATCCAATGTTTGAACTCGAGAGGAAGAAGCAGGAAAGCGGCCGCCTGCCGACCACCACGACTGCGCCGATGACGACGACGACGACGATGACGACAGCGGCAACGACGACAACGGCGTCGCCGTCCGCGCCGCAGCAGAGTTATCGTGTTCTTGAGGCCGAATCACCCCAGACCGGCGGTGGTACCGCAGGCACCGGTGACACTGCGGCTACCACCGGCACTACCGCGGGTGGTTATCACGTCCTGGAAGCGTCCCCGGTGGTGCCAGGCTCGGCGCAACGTTCGTCAGCGAGTGACGTTTTGGAGAAGGCGCGAAATCGCTTCGACAAGTTCTGGGGAAAGGGCAACAACGACACAGAGAATTAGATATCGCGTCCTTTGAAACTGCGGAGAATGGCGAGAAGTAAAGACGAAGGAGGAGAGGAAGAAGTAGGAAGACGCTCCGACGGATTCCACATTCTCGTTGAAGAATCTCTCGTCCCGGAAAGACGGAGTGACTCTTCTCGGGAGAAAGAAAGAGAGAGAGAGAGAGAGAGAGAGAAAGAGGGAGAGAGAAAGAAAGAGAGACCGTCACCCCGTTGTGTCCTACCGTCGAGTAATCTGTCCACTGTGCTTTCGTAGCTTGTAGTTGCTCAGGAAGTGAGGATATCGAAGATGTAGTATGCGAGAGAAGAAGGAAGGAAGAGGAAAGAAAGAGGACGAGTCGAAGTGTCTCTATGAAAGAATTCTCCCCAGCTGATCGCTGACAGGGAAAGATGAGAGATGAGAGAGAGAGAGAGAGAGAGAGAGAGAGAGAGAGAGATATATCTTCAGAAACGAAATCCTATGAGCTTCTTCATTATCCCCATCCTCGAGATGTCGCTTGTTCTGAAAGTATTTATGAACTTCAAACGACGATGTTATTACACGTACTCAACACGCAGCGAAGCAGACTCTCGAAGATCTCGCGATCGTTCAGGTTGGGAAGATGTTCGCGATGTGAGATGCGAAGAGGTGACAAGGGAAACGACGGGAGAGGAGCACAAGTTCGAAGGCGGAAGTGAAACTGGTCGACGCTGTCGGAGAGATCATTCCCGGGACTCGAATTGCAATCGCTCGAAAGCGCACCGCGCGACGTTCGTCCCGATGATTAATCATCGCGCTCTCGTCGAGAACTAATGCGACGTGTAAAGAGTACGTGGCCGGAGCTTTCAACGAAGTTGAAACGCGCGGTCGAAGTAACGCGTCCGATATCTCACGGATCGAGTCGGAACCACATTAGCCGCGGCTTTCACGGAGATGCGAGCTCGGGAGGACAAACAAGGTTCAGCGTCGAACAATCGGTCGTTCTAAAACGACCAAGCTTCCTGCCCTTCTTTCTCAGAAGACAAGAAAGACAGTAGGACAGTATCGTGGATCCGCGGGCGTCGCGTCGTTAGTAATAAAAGACGAAAAAGAAAGAAAAAATAGTTCCAGGCAAGGATACATCAGGGTGAAAGGATCCGACGGATCGACGTCGAGAAGCTTACGACTACGGTGCGTGCAGGTTACGCGTCGGTCTCGTTTAAAACTCGAGGAATCGAACTCGAACGTAACCATTCATACACGCTTACAAGCAACGTATCACATACATATATACAAACAAACATTACACACACACGTACACGAGAAGAATATATTCACATTTTTTCCCTTTTTCGACTGACCAGCGTTTCGAGGTCTTCTAAGCTATCAAACAGAACACGATTGCACACATAAGACATATTATACTCACACGAACACACCTTTAAATACGTACGAGTACGCGTACATATGCATCTATTTGTATTTGCATACGTACACGTGCACACACACATATACATACACAGACACACGCACGCGCAATCTCTCATTGACACGAACATAGAAACAGCGTCTAGACGAGTAACACACGTGAAAACATTATATAGAATATTAAAATAATCCCACGGGATCCGCCGTAGTTAAGCCCGAATTCCTTTTCCATCGATTAAAAAAGAAAAAAGGAAAAAAAAGAAGAAGAAAACTCGAAGCGGAATATCGCGCGAACATCATTAAGTCGAGGGAGATAACGACTCTTGCCGCTATAAATAAATGAAAAAAAAAAAAAGAGAGAAAATCGAGAAGGATGAGTAGCCTTCGGCTTTGTGCGTTTTATATAAGTCTATATACGGAATACAATTATACACAAGCGTATACACGTACGTATACAATTATGGAGTATTGCACTCGCGGGTTAAACAGGAAGTGCGCGGTCGCCACGCCTGGGGATTCCTCGGATCGACGAATGACTCCGGACGCGCTTTACGACGAGAGAGTGCTTACAACGAGGATAGCGTGTCGTATCGCGTTACGTTGCTTTCAATTGCGTTTCCGAGGTTAACGTCTCTTCGTCCCTTTCTCACTGAAGATTCTCTTCTCGTGTATAAAAGGTTCGGCCGCAAGCGAGAATGTTACGTTACGCACGTGGGGAGAAATCCGGGGAATCTCCGGCAGCTCCGCGATCTAGTTTCTTTCTCGAATACGGGGAGAGAACATGAATCTTTTCTCTCTCTCTCTCTCTCTCTCTCTCTCTCTCTCTCTCTCTCTCTCTTTCTCTCTTTCTCTCATTACGTGTGTGTTGTCGCCGCGAAAGAGTTTGCTCCATTCTGAAGCTGAATCTCGACCGTCTCGCGTGTGATTTGATCCTCAGTGCACCGTTGTTGATCATCACCGAAACCGAAGTCGCCGCCAAATTGCGAAGCAAATAATCTTCCTTGATCGCTTTTGAGCGTAACGGCTTTACAAAGTACGTTTTCTATGCTCCGTGTGTAAATTTGCTTCCGCTAATTAAATCCTAATTACGCGAGTGCAGCACCGATCAAACTTCGAAATGTTGACGGAATTGATGTTCTCTCCCTCTCTCTCTTTCTCTCTCTTTCTCTCTCCCTCTCGCGACAAAGCACAATGATTATGTTCAGAGATGCCGAGTGGAAAAAAAAAACGTGAAAAGGGGGAAGAAATCCTTTCTCTACGTTGCTCTGGAAAAAAATCGCTTAATTTGCGTTTTTTTTTCAAAAACGGAAAAGATGTTCGCGAGACTCGCGTTGTAGGTTCAACGCGAACGCGCGAACTGTTCAACAGTCGCCGTCGGAAATTCGCCTCGGGCAAACGGCGAAAAGGAAGGAGAGGAAGGCACGCGATCGCTTCTCGTTTGATCGTTCACCGCTAAAATTCGACGCGAACGGTCGAGACCACAATATTCACGGCCCAATTTAATTTATTCACGGCGTTCGTTCTCCCCGGCGGCCCACCGCTTTCATCGGCGCAAACGATACATACGTAGGCTACTCCCTGCCGACGGAAGTGGGTCGCTCGGGAGCGAGCGTGTTAATCGTCACTATGAAGCGACATGAATTACTTAGCGAGGCGTAGTGTTTTTTTCACACAGAACACACACGATTTAGCGCGTCGAGCATCCCAGCGAAAGATTAAGATTTACCGAAGAGTGTCGCTCTGTATGTGTGAGCGCGTGTGCGTGTATGTTTGTTGCGTGATTGTTATATGTATTACAATAATGAGACGATGATGATGATGATGATGATGATGACGTGAGGGAACGGCGCTATTCTCGATCGACATATGTTGATATTCTATTACACTTCTGAGAACGGACATACGGACTTTTCCCGGAGTCGCAGCAGATTCCGGATTGCGACGAGGAGTCAGGAGGAGACCGTGAAGAACGAAGAAAGAAAGAAAAAAATAAAGAAGGAACGAACGGGCTACCTTCCCGCGCTACGCATGCTCTGCATATTCCTGCATATCCGTCTGATTTCTTAACGCGAACACGTTCCTTCGTACGATTCCTCCTTGAAGAAAGAGACCACGATGACGATGAGAAAAGGTCTACGCATTTCTCTCGAAGAGATCACAAGCTCTCCGATTCTCTCCGTACGAAAATTCGCGACGAAATATATCCCAGGTATATTACACTGTTCTTATCTGGATCTACACGTACGATCGTCCCGGGGACGTGAAGCGAACGAGTGTCTCCGGAGGAGAGAGATGTGCATCTCGAGAACGTTTGCGAGCCCGGCGCGAGAAGGGAGGAACGATCGCGAGATTCGAAGTTTTCATTGCGCTTGAGTATTTAAAAGAACTCACCCGCTCGGAGTTCGGCCTTGAGTTACTGGCGTAAACGTCCATTCCACTTTCAGCGTCCTGCCCGACGAGAATCAAGGGGCTCGGAGAACACACTCGCTCGTCCTCTTCGAAAACGCCGCGAGGCAGGAGGAGGAGGAGGAGGAGGAGCAGGAGAGCAACGGTGGAGCTTTTCTCTATCTCTCTCACGCGCATACGGTACACCACACTCCATCCAGATCCACGTCCAAATGCCAACCAACCGTAGTGAAGCAGTAATAATGATAATAATGATAACGATAATGATACTAAATAATTAATACCGACGTTGTTAAGTATAAGGGGAACGTAAGATGCCGGAGAGCGAGAACAAACCTGATGTGAAATTTGACTGACGATGTGGACGGCAGGATCCAGGATGACCAGGCTTGACCATTGGGTGCCGACGAGACGCCGAACATTCGACGGCGAGAGGAAGCGAGAATCGTTGCTCCGAAACGAACGATCGCTGACGACGATACCGTTCGTCGCTCGATACTGTGGAACGTGAGGACGATTTCGAAAGACTAAATAAGTTTCAGTTAAGTGAGAATTTCGAGTCGATCAGTGATTCTCAGATTTCACGCGGCGAAATTCGACGATCGTGACGATAGTTTCTAGATTTAGTTCCTGAATTCGATTCAATTTAATTTAGAGTTCGCTTAATTTGCTCCACTTTCATTATTCGAGACAGTTATTTTATATTATTCTCCTCTGCAAAAACGTTTAAATGCAGCCTCATTCTTTCAAATTACGTTCACTCCGAGAGCACACGCCAAATCTGAGGGCCACTGAGGCGTACTATATTTGCACTATAATCGCACAGTAGCGCTTATACCTCCGCGAGTCCGTTGCATAAAAAAGATTCGGCCTAATTTTTCACATCCAGAGTAATATTTTACTTAACACACGCGCGTGCGCGCGTAAGATTGTGGCGGATTTTATTGGCGAGCAGAGAGATTGTGCGATCCTATTTGTACCTTCGCCTTTCGGCTTTCGATGTGTCGCGATTGTGTAACGGAGATTAAAATATTCTTACTCAATGTTGAAAACACAGTTGTTAGTGAGCTCTAAATTAAAGAAAATTAAAAAAAAAAGAAAAACGGAAAAGAAGAGAGAAAAGTGGAGGAGGAGGAGGAAGAAGAAAAACAATAAGAAAGGGCGCGGAAGAGAGAAGTGATATCTAGAAGTAAGTCGCGCGTGGCTATTGTACGGCTCACACGAGATTCCAGACGAATTCTTCTCGACCGCCATCAACCGCACACAACAAATCGCTAACAGTCTCTCCTAAATGATACGGGAGTCCGAGAGAGGGACGAGAGAGAAAAAGAGAAAGATATATATATATATATATATATATATATATATATATGTATATATATATGTATA